CTGGTCATAAAAAGCAAACACTTGTTTAATGTGGAATTTGTAGAACTAGAAATGGGCCTCTGAATTATGAAGCATATGATAATATTATTCTTACTAATTCCCCAAAACCTACAAGTAAGAATCAGATCAACTTTAAGTTGATCTTTAATTCTTTTGAGATATTAACATATCAGCCTTGCCAGCTTGAATCACTTAGGGAAGACCTCAGCAAAAAATCAATGCAAATAAAATCAAGTACGAGCATCTGAGGCAATGAAGCACAAAACAGATGGCCTTGTTCATGGGGTCAGGCTTTATATCTCCAGCACCAACAAGAGGTATGTGACTTAATTACCAGCTGTCCTGACCCAGCTGCCTGACCTCAGGGCATTACTGCACTACTACCATGACACAGTGAATTACAAAGACCAAAGGAACATATGGACAGACATGGAGCTCTACAAGGTTCCCTGTCCTCATGAAGGACACCAGGAATCACTTCACTTTAAGCAAAAGCAAAGCAGCTGTGGGGGTCAAAGTGCTACGATAAATATGCAGAAATGAGTGTGAAACTATGAAGTAAAAGCAGACGTGGGAAAGTCCCCACATTAACCATTTGACTTTGTTTTTAAAATGAAAATATTTTCCCAATGAAATTATTCTTCCCTCTCTATATGTAGACCCGGTGATACGGTATGTAATCATCAGTGGTGCATAATCATCAATGCAAAACTGTAGAAAACATAACTGAAAGCAATCTTTTATGTCTAGTTTCCAATCTCCTTTAATAACACTAAAAAGTAATCATCATAGTATTGCTAAGTGACCAAGATCTAGCTTCATTTTCATCTTTAGAAGATGAAAAACAAGTTTCTCTGGTTTCCAGGGCAACTAAAAGAATTCTGAAAGCAAGCTAATATATCCAAAGATATACTATATTCTATACAGCATGGTAGAGATTTCAAATAATAATTTTCTTTTTTTTTTTTTTTTTTTGAGATGGAGTCTCGCTCTGTCGCCCAGGACGGAGTGCAGTGGCCGGATCTCAGCTCACTGCAAGCTCCGCCTCCTGGGTTCATGCCATTCTCCTGCCTCAGCCTCCCGAGTAGCTGGGACTACAGGCGCCCGCCACCTCGCCCGGCTAGTTTTTTTGTAGTTTTAGTAGAGACGGGGTTTCACCATGTTAGCCAGGATGGTCTCGATCTTCTGACCTCGTGATCCACCCGTCTCGGCCTCCCAAAGTGCTGGGATTACAGGCTTGAGCCACCGCGCCCGGCCTCAAATAATAATTTTCAATCAGTTACTAAAGAACAACTGAGTACAAGTGGTCAGACAGACCAGACTTCAAAGTCTAGTTTTGCTATTAAATAGTGGGTTATTTTTGACAATTAGCTTATTTTCTTCATCAAAAAAAATAGGAATAATATCTACTTGATAGGGTTGTTATGAGGGTTAAAACAGATAATTGATGTAACATAGCATGCTGCAAGGAACATAGAGAGCACTCAACAGTACACCATTTATTTAACTAAAGGAGATTTGGTTAAGTTAAATGATCAGATGAACATCATTTAAGATCCACGAATCACCTTCCCTCCCTCTCTCCACAAGTCCCTGAAGGCTTGGAAAGAGAACTGTGAAACAGAGGCATCTAAAGAGAAGGAAATAGCAAACCAAGGTAGGGAAAACACTTCGGCAGCAAAACAAAGGTACTCTGAACAATGAGCTTCATTCAGTGAAGGACAGTTCTCACGTGAAAGAAGCTCCTCCAGAGTGAAGGTTTGGTAGCCATGTCAACAGAAGCTAGAGGAAGATTCTTTACAACTAAAGAAGAAATGCTGAAAATGGTTCACAAGACTCAAAAGACAGGGTGTATTCAGTAGAACAGGATGAAGCGATTTTAACACGGACAAAAAACCAGGAGAACTGAGAAAGTCTTCTATTCCTTCACAATGCATTAAAAAAAAAAAAAAATCTTTTCTACTTAGTAACAGACATCTGGATGCCTAGGGTAGCCTTGCCTCTGCCTCTATGGATTTTATTGAGCCTCTCAAATTTTCAAGGGGATGTAAGTCTCCACCTAAAGAAATTAGTGAAGCAAAGATGCTTCATTACTAATACTATATAGCCAGTCCATCTTTGTCAAAAAAAAAAAACCCTTCCCAATATATATATAACATATATAATATTTTTATATATATATTTAACATATATAATATATATTTTATATATATACACACACTTTTTTTTTATGGAGTTTCGCTTTTGTTGCCCAGGCTGGAGTGCAATGGCGCAATCTCGACTCACCGCAACCTCTGCCTCCTGGGTTCAAGTGATTCTCCTCCCTCCGTCTCCTGAGTAGCTGGGATTACAGACATGCACCACCATGCCCGACTAATTTTTGTATTTTTAGTAGAGATGGGTTTTCTCCATATTGGTCAGGCTGGTCTCGAACTCCCGACCTCAAGTGATCCGCCTGCCTTGGCCTCCCAAGGTGCTGGGATTACAGGTGTGAGCCACCGCACCCGGCCCAAATATTTTTTAAATGTATACTATTCGTACATTTACGTAATATTTTTATAGAGATATTTACTAAGTCTAGCTCCCATCAGAGAGCAAATAAGACAACCAAAAAAAACCTTCCTATTACTTGTACTTCATTATATCACATGTCTACGGTGTGGTGGGGATGTTCAAGGAAGAGCAGCAAATATACAAGAAATTCATTCTGAAAAGTCATTTATTTATCAGACATATTATAATTTATATGAAATGACAATAAGCTTGACACTCAACAAATTTGTTAGGGCGACAAAATAATGTCCTTTTTTTTTTTTTTGAAAAAGGGTTTGCTGTGTCATCCATGCTAGAGTGCAGTGGTGCAATCAGCTCACTGCAGTTTTGAACTCCTAGGCTCAAGGGATTCTTCTGGCTCAGCCTCCTGAGTAGGTGGGATTAGAGGTGTGTGCTACCCACGCCTAGCTCTGTCCTATCATTAAAAAAAGAAAATCTATTACAAAAGAGAACTGTCTGGGCATAGTGGCTCATGCCTGTAATTCCAGAACTTTGGGAGGCTGAGGTAGGCAGATTACTCAGGAGTTCGAGACCAGCCTGGGCAACATGGCTAAAACCCATCTCTACCAAAAATAAAACAAATTAGCCTGGCGTGGTGGATGCCTGTGGTCCCAGCTACTCAGGAGGCTGAGGTGGGAGGATCGCTTGAGCCCAGGAGTTAGAGGTTGCAGTGAGTGGAAATCGTGCCACTGCACTCCAGCCTGGGTGACAGAGTGAGATCCTGACTCAAAAAAAAAAAAAAAAAAAAAAAAAAGGAGAAAGAGAGAACTTACCAATATTACCAATATAGCCAAAAGTCAACATGAGAAACTATTCACAGGGAAATATTTTCTCAAAACAAATTAGCAAGGTTAAGAATTTTTTAAGAATTTCCAAAGCTAGAGATTTTTCACATAGGAATCAGGCCCCTATTTTTGTTTTGTTTTGTTTTGAGACAGAGTCTTGATCTGTCACCCATGTTGGAGTGCAATGGTACCATCTTGGCTCACTGCAACCTCTGGATCCTAGGTTCAAGTGATTCTCCTGCCTCAGCCTCCCAAGTACCTGGGACTATAGGTACACCACCACATCTGGCTAATTTTTGTATTTTAGTGGAGATGGGGTTTCACCATTTTGGCCAGGCTGGTTTCGAACTCCTGACCTCAGGTGATTTACCCACTTCAGCCTCCCAAAGTGCTGGGATTACGGTCGTGAGCCACCACACCAGGCCAGGCCCCTGGGTTTCTGTTGGACCAAGTACAGAGCACAGGTAATCATTTAGTGAATGTGAATCATCCATAAGTGTAACCCACTTTTCATGTTCATATGTATCCATTCAAAGAAAACCTGAAAATAATAGTTTGCCAAGACATAAATTGATGTATATTTGATGAACCTTTCATTTCTCCACAATTAAGCCTAATTTATGATGTTAATAATTATACTACCACATAAGTAAACTGTCACTTCAACTCCTTTTTTCATTGTTTCATTTACCTTTTCCTTTTGTTTTACCCCTTTCTTAAGTCTTAATATCTTGCCTAAATATAATTGAAATAAAGTAACACTAAAAGCACTTTAACTGCCAGTGCATAATGAAACTTGTGAAAACCTGCAAGTACAAAGGAGTGCAAGAGAAAAATGAATATGCACCCAGACACACATCATAATTCTTTCCTAACAAGTCTGTTCAAGTTGACAATTATAGGCTGGCTGCAGTGGCTCAGGCCAGTAATCCCAGCACTTTAGGAGGCCAAGGCGGGCTGATCACTCGAGCCCGTGAGTTTGAGATCAGCCTGGGTAACATGTCGAAACCCCATCTCTACAAAAAATACAAAACTTAGCTGGACATGGTGGTGAGCGCCTGTAGTCCCAGCTGCTCAGGAGCCTGAGGTGTGAGAATTGCCTGAGCCCAGGAGGTTGAAAGGCTGCAGTGAGCTAAGATGGCACTGGGCAACAGAATGAGACACTATCTCAAACCAAAAAAAAAAAAAAAAAAAAAGTTGACCATTTAAAAAACGGAAAACACAACTAAAACTTAGTTGTAAAAATCTCTATTTCTAATCTCTCCTAAATGGAGGTGGTAAAAGGAAAAACAGTAAGAAAATTGTCTATTTCAAGTCTGTTTCTGGGAGCTTATTTAGATAGGAGAAAAACACTTCTGGACAATGATAATGATATCCTTCATGTATTGCTAATGCAAAACTCTAATAGCAAGTATCTTCAGCAAATGCCTAAGAAAATAAATTATCACCTTAAAAACTGTTATGAAGACATAAAGTTTGAAGACTTTGGACATATAGCTACTAAGACTCTTTCAGAAATCATCTTATCTACATATACATGAAATACATTTTAGAAAATGTCTATCATTAAGTTAGTAATGCTGAAAACTTCTAGGGGTAGGGAAAGTACAAAAGGGAATATTACTAGGCTTCAAAAAAAAAAAAAAATTAGCAGATACTTACGATATGCAAAAGTTTTAACACATCCACAAACCTGTAAAAAACAGCAATGAAAAAAATGTTTTAATGTGCCAATGCGGGGAAAACAGTCTTCTGAATTGTAAACTGGATACCTACACTTTCTCTGAGCTCATGATCTCCTTGGCAATATGATGAATTTTACTTTTCATTCCATTATCTTCATCCTGTGGATAAGAGCACATTGAGCATGAACTCATAAAAGAATAATAAAGATCAGTTATGAGCTTGTCAGACACGAATTTTAACTCTGATACTTGTAAGTTTCCTACTAGCACACAGTTCATACTACATAACATTTCAAATGGCAAACATGGAGAACTGGATGAGGGATAAACCATGTCACAGAAGTAGCTGAGAGCAATCAGTAATCTTCACTGTCATTAGCTGGATTGATGAATTGCTCTGAGTAGCTACAGAACCTTGCTAGGACACAACCATCAGTGGTTCAAAATGGAAGTCACAAACTAAAAAGGCTACAGGGAAAATGGCCCCTTACAGAGAGATACCAGAAGAAGAGTTATTTGGGTGTGTACAAATAATTTAAGAATTTGGCCAGGCGCAGTGGCTCACACCTGTAATCCCAACACTTTGGGAGGCCGAGGAGGGCGGATCACATGAGGTCAGGAGGTCAAGACCAGTCTGACCAACATGGAGAAATCCCGCCTCTACTAAAAATACAAAATTAGCCGGGTGTGGTGGCTCATGCCTGTAATCCCAGCTGCTCAGGAGGCTGAGGCAGGAGAATCGCTTGAACCCAGAAGGCAGAGGTTGCGGTGAGCCAAGATTGCGCCATTGCACTCCCGCCTGGGCAACAACAGTGAAACTCCGTCTCAAAAACAAACAAACAAACTAATTTTAAAAAAAAGAAATTAGTGAATATCCAACAGGAATGTAGATGAGAACTTCACCTTAAGTAAAGGTATTTTAACTCACAACTTAAATATAGTCTGAATAGGGCTCTTCTTCAATCTATACCAAATATAAGTCAACACTACAGTCACAGGCTCTACGAATTTCCTTAAAATCCCTTTTAGATATATGTTCGTAGAGTCAAGGCAGTTTTATTCTAAGGAGCTGAAATGAAATTCTTTTGTGTGTGTGTGTGTGTGTGTGTGTGTGTGAGAGAGAGAGAGAGAGAGAGAGAGAGAGAGAGAGAGAGAGAGAGAGAAAGAGAGACGGAGTCTCACTCTATCGCCCAGGCTGGAGCGCAGTGGTGTGATCTCAGCTCACTGCAACCTCCGCCTCCCGGGTTGGAGAGATTCTCCTGCCTCAGCCTCCTGAGTATCTGGGACTACAGGTACGTGCCACTGCACCTGGCTAATTTTTTTCTTGTATTTTTAGTAAAGACGGGGTTTCACCGTGTTAGCCAGGATGGTCTCAATCTCCTGATCTCATGATTCGCCCGCCTCAGCCTCCCAAAGTGCTGGGATTACAGGCGTGATCACTCACCTTTTAAACTACACATAGCTCTATATTCCTTAGGAAGACTGCTGTCTTAAGCACAGTCTGACTTTGACCTGGTAGACAATGTATCAGGTACTAATCATACATAAGTGTCTACACACACATACACACACACGGATAACTGTTATTTTGAAAAAATATTTTAGCAAGTCCAAACTTTTCTATCACATTGGGGTTCTCCATATAATCTGCAGATAGAAAGTTTAATGTTTACAAACTACAGTGTATAAATTTTAAATTAGAAATGAGCTTGGCATGGTGGCTCATGTCTGTAATTCCAGCACTTTGAGAGGCCAATTTGGGAGGATTGCTTGAGCCCAGGAGTTTGAGACCAGTCTGGGCAACATAGCAAGACCATGTTGTTAGTAAAAATAATAATAATAATCATAATAATAACATAAATAAAATTAAAATTACAAATGCATTAAAAATGAGAAAAACAGAAACCAAAACCATTTAGGGAACTGAAGCCCTGACTCTTCATTTCCAAATAATGTGACACCCCTTAAAGATCAAGAGGGGATCTCATCAGTATCTTTAAAGAAATGCAGGTACACTATAGATGTAGAAGCATTTGATTACTGGAGTCAGCTAAAATGTGTACCATCTCTACACAGAAATTTCAAGTAGCTGTTACTTTATTTTTGGCATCTACCCTTTGTTTCCTCTCCTCTTTTTATCACTCTCCTTTTGATAGGTCTCTACTCTGTACCTTTTTTCCTCTCCTTCTCAGGACCTTGCTCTACCAGGGCCTGCATCACACAGACTTGTGTAGAGGAGGCTATTCCACACAAAAATTAACTAAAAATGTGAAAACTGTAAACTTCCAGAAGAATACATTTTTAAAAATCCTTATGACCTTGAATTAGACAGTTATTAGATATGACACCAAAAGCATAACTGATAAAAAAAATTGATAAATGGAACTTCATAAATTGTTTATGCTTCAAAAGACACATCATTAAGAAGATAAAAAGATAAGCCATACACTGGAGAAAATATTTGCAAATCATGATTCTGAGAAAGAACTAGTAGCTAGAATACATTAAGAACTCTGATAGGGCTGGGAGTGGTGGCTTACGCCTGTAATCTCAGTATTTTGGGAGGCTAAGGCAGGCAGATCGCTTGAACACAGGAGTTCGAGACCTGGGCAACAGGTGAAACCCCATCTCTAAAAACAATACAAAAATTAGCTGGGCATGGTGGTGCACACATGTAGTCCCAGCTACTCAGGAGGCTGAGGTAAGAGGATCACTGAACTCAGGAGGTTGAGGCTGTAGTAAGCCATGATTTGAGCCACTGCACTCCAGCCCTGGTAACATAGCAAGACCCTGTCTTCACAAAATAAAAAAATAGAAAACAATTAGCCAGGCATGATGGCACACACCTGCAGTCCCAGCTACTTGGGAGGCTGAGGTGGGAGGATCACTTGAGCCCAGGAATTCGAGGCTACAGTGAGCTATGATTGCAATATTGCACTCGTTTAGGCGACAGAGTGAGAACCTGGCTCTTAAAAACAAAACAAAACAAAACAAAATTCAGACAACTCAAACAAAAACGTTGTGTTTGAACGCATGCCTGAAACCCTGGCAATTTGGGAGGCTGAGGTGGGAGGATCACTTGAGTACAGGAGTTTGAGACCAGCCTGGGCAACAAAGCAAGATCTCATTTCTATTTACAAAAAAAAAATTAAAAAAAGAGATAAAAGACGTGAATGTGTGAAGAAACATCTCACCGAAGAAGATATAAGAACGGCCAATAAGTACATACAAAGTTGTTGAACACAGTTAGTTATGAGGGAAATGCAAATTAAAACCTCAATGATATACTTCACACCCACACAATGGCTATAATAAAAAATAAAAAAATACCTAGTGTTGGTGAGGATGTTGACCAACTGGAACCTTTATCTATTGTTGGCGGGCATGGTAGCCCTTACTCATACGGTGTGAAAAACGAAAAACAGCTCAGAGCAATCTGAGCTATGTGAGGTACGCAAAATTTATCAGGCCCAGAGAAACATGAGTATGAGACTTCAGTAATGTACCAATCCCCATGCCCAGGTGCAACTGTTTAAAGGCATTTTTGTCCCTGACCAGCTGCCTCCACCCAGTCTCCATGTTCCTAGAATTTGTGAAACAAAGAACAATGTAAAGTCAATCAAACAGCTTATGATATTTTAATATAAAATTATTGATAAACAGCTTAGGAATTGCCTCTTCTTTTCCTTTAATTTTTTAGGTATGTGCACTTCCACTTGTGCGGAAGGTTGAGGCAGGAGAACTGCTTGAACCCAGGAGGTGGAGGTTGCCATGAGTCAAGATCTCGTGCCATTGCACTCCAGTCTGGGTGATGAGAGCGAAACTCCGTCTCAACAAAAGCAAAACAAACAAACAAAAAAATCCACTTGTGGCTGGACATGGTGGCTCATGCCTGTAATCTCAGCACTTTTGGTCAAGGCAGGTGAATCACTTGAGGTCAGGAGTTCAAGACCAGCCTGGCGAACATGGTGAAACCCTATCTCCACCCAAAATAAAAAAATTAGCCGGGTGTGGTGGCGAGCATCTGTAATACCAGCTACTAGGGAGGCTAAGGCAGGAGAATCACTAGAACCCAGGAGGCAGAGGTTGCAGGGAGCTGAGATCGCACCACTGTACTCCAGCCTGGGCAACACAGTGAGACTCTGTCTCAAAAACAAAACAAAACAAAACAAAAACCCCACTTGTAACTGCTCCTAACAGGAGTCCTGAATCTATGCTCCAGGCTTGTAGTCCTCAAATTTGGCCCACATAAACTCTGTACTTATACTAAGCATGCCTCATTTTTTTTTTCCCATTAGGTCGACAGGGTTTTCTGCTGTCTCCTAATGTTATTGAGCACAGAATGTGTATTTCTTCTCCTTGTTATTCTGAGATCATTTTCAAGAGAAAGAAGTCAGTACCCTCTTTACACTTTCATTTTAAAATCTGAAGTTCGTAACTGACTTTCCGTCATTTGATAGCAAAGTTAGTAAAATAAAACAGTTCTACCGCCAGCCCATTCACTGCTCTACATATAAATTTGAAAACATTAGTGATCATTAGAATCACAGGCAGATCTTAAATTTCAGATTCCCAGGTACTGTCTTAGAAATTCTGATTGTGTAGGTTTAAAATGGAGCATTAAAAGTAGATGTTAGAAGAGGGAATTACACAGGGCACCATGGTTCACACTTGTAATCTCAACATTTTGGGAGGCAGGAGGATCACTTGAGGCCAGGAATTCAAGGTCAGCATGGACAACATAGTGAAAGCTGAAAAACACACACACACACACAAAATAGCCAGGCATGGTGGCACATGCCTGTAGTTCCTAATCACTCGAGAGGCTGAGGTAGGAGGATCACATGAGCCCAGGAGTTCAAGGCTACAGGGAATGATAAATAACAATAGCCCTAGTTGGCCGGGTGCAGTGGCTCACACCTGTAATCCCAGCACTTTGGGAGGCTGAGATGGGTGGATCACTTGAGGCCAGGAGTTAGAGACCAACCTGGCCAACATGGTGAAACCCTGTCTCTACTGAAAATATAAAAATCAGTTGAGCGCGGTGGCGCACACCTATAGTCCCAGCTACCTGGGAGACTGAGGCATGAGAACGCTTAAACCTGAGAGGCAGAGGTTGCAGTGAGTCAAGATCATGCCACTGTACTCTCCAGCCTGGG